TCTGATTTCTCTCAACATGGGGACAGGAGAGCTGTCAATCAATAAATTGAAAAAAAAAGTAACTTGCGTTACTTATTTGAAAAAGTAACTCCGATATTCTCTTGTAAATTAAAAAGTAATGCGTTACTTTACTAGTTACTTGAAAAAAGTAATCTGATTACGTAACTCGCATTACTTGTAATGCGTTACCCCCAACACTGTCTATCTGTATGATACGGCCTTGGAGGAAATTCAGTCCAAATGTCTCTTTGTATGGTATGAAGGTCTGTTTCGCAAAACCTAGATGAACATACAAAAAACTGCATTATTGTATTATTCTAGCTGCTCATTTTAGTACATTAGGCATCTTATTATTAGCATACCAGCTTGAACTGAGGCACGCAGCGCTGCAACGTTGTGATGAAATGCATCCAGGATGTCAATAAGCATGAAGGGCACCCCATGATGTTTAAGGTGTTGGGCAGCTGCAATGCCACCAAAACCACCGCCAACAATCACCACATAGACATTCTCGTCAATGGACACCTGACCACCCATAATGCTTCACTACTGAGAAGAGTAGTGTCTTTAAATTCAAAATGTCATGTTTTGCTTTTTCAGGATGAAAGTTAGAAAGAACACCATTTATTTGAAATAGTAAATTTCAAATAAAAAAACCAGCTACTGTGAACATTGCCGCCTCTCTACCGGATGAGCTTAATAAAAGTGACTTTGACTTTGACTGACTTTGACTTTAAATTTATAAATGTCACTACTGTCCTTTTTGATCAACTGAATGCATCCTTGAAAAGTGTTAATTTCTTTCGAAAATTTGTTACTGACTTTTGTCATTAAAACTTTTGAACACACACACACACCCACCTATGTATCTATCTATCTATTCTCACACATATACATACATATAAATAAATGCCCATTTTAATATTTCAAATTTCTACACGTCTTTTTACTACTTTTATCTACCTGTATTTGGAGGACAGGTAAATATCCCTTTACCTTATATAGCAATTTATTAATTTTAAAACAATTACTCAGCCAAAATGCTTTGCAATAATGCATGCTAAGATTAAGAAAAACTGACGAGAAATTGTTTTCTATATCGATGTGTTCATATAATGGAATATCCATATATTTGCCTGCGACTAGGACATAGCGCTATATTACAACATTGAGTTTATACGAAAGCTCATAATCTTTTGCATGCAGCTTAAAAGTCTTTTGCATTCTTACCAACTAATGTGTGGAGGCTTGTGATTGTGTGAGGCTCCGTATACTGTTCTTCCACACGGATATGTCTTCAGCTCTTTCTGTTTATAGAGCTGTATTGTATCCAATGGTAGCGCGCGTAGTCTGGTGATGGGCGGGTCTTTTCGGACTGCGTTATATTGTAGCCAATGGTTAGCGTGAGTATGGGCGTGTCTGTTTGTCGAGTGGTGGTGAAACCATAGACATAATAAATACCTAGACGCCTCATTGGCCGCTCGACCGCATGTCAACGTCGTCGCCATATTGGTGCGGGCAACTCTCATATCAGGAGGCAGTCTTGCCCTCACAAACATGGCAGACGCGTTGACGTATCGCTGCCAATGAGGCGTCTAGGTATGTATATGTCTATGGGTGAAACGTCTGCTTTTCCTCCACATACCAGTGACTCGTAATAGGTTGAATCAGACAGAAAAGACAGGTTTACAGTTTGAAAAAATTGCATTTGTGGATGTAAAATTTGCTTAAGAAAAAGATTAAATTAATAATAAAACAGATATTTTCTTTTGTGGGGTCTGAATCAAAATATTAAAATATAATGTTTCTCAGATGAATTGAGAAGCTTGGCAAAATATTACACTTCATAACAGTGAAAGGTCAGAAGTTCAGCCGAGTCACGGTGACAAACACGGCAGAGTTTTCTTTAACTGATTTAATCTTTAATATTTTTTACTATGAATTTTTTTTTCTAAATTAAAACCCATTTAGTGTTCCAAGAATTAATTTTAAATAATTATGCAAATATTATTTAGACATAATATTGATAGTAAACGATAATACATTTTAGAAGTATTGCGGTTTTCGAAGTAGAATCGTAAAAAGTTTCAAAGATATCTTGGCGTACTTTCACCAACAGATGGCGCTAAATGACTAGGTCCTTCAAAAATAAACGATCGTCGTCATTTATTGACTCGAATTTTTTTTTTTTTTTCAGAGGGGGGGGCAAACAGAAATCAATGAGCCACTGTTATTATTTCTAATGACTCTCGAGTTGTTCCAAACTTTTTTTGTGAAACACAAAATCAGCTGTTAGACAGATGACAAACTCTAAGTCACCATTTACTGTATTGCATTTTTGGCTATAGAATGAAAGTGAATGGTGACTGTCATTAAGCCTAACATCCCTTTTGTGTTGTACAGAACAAACAGTTAAACACGTTTGGAACAGCGTGCTTTGCTTTAAGTTAAGTAGTTTATTTTTAAATAAAATATCATGCATTTGAAAAGCTGAGTGGATTCAAAACATCGCATGTGTCTACCGAGGGGTGGCGCTCTAATAAAAGCCCTGTGTGCGTGGACCCTCAAATGAGCTGTGAAGATAAGAGAGACTACACAAATGTTTCTTCTTGTTATGTAAAGTGCATCTGATTCTTTAATATGCCCTTGCATAGCAACTTTTAACAGCAAAGCATAAAAATGCAGTGCTCAGCCTACACTATGTTTATTTTCTTTTACAGTAGGCACCAGTGTTGGGGAAAGTTACTTTTAAAAGTAATGTATTACAATATTGCGTTACTCCATAACAAAGTAACTAATTTCGTTACTTAGTTACTTTTTATGGAAAGGAATGCGTTACGTTACTTTTGCGTTACTTTTTAAATCTGGACAGGGCTTGCTTGTTTGTTTTTAAAATAAAAAATTATATTTTTGGCAAATATAAAAGCCTTTTCACACCAAAAGTGAAATGAATAAGCCTCAGGCTGAAGGAAAGTAAATTTACGTCCGTACAGTAGAATGCAGAAGAAGACATTTCAACACACTTCAGCAGTAAAAAAACACACACAAATGTTGTCTAGAGTAATTTTTGCTTATTAGTACGGTTGAACTGGATCATCGAAGGTCAGAAGCAAAGAATGGGATTAAATACATAAAGGATATTTGTGTTGTTTAACATTTAATTATTGCAGGTTCGCGTCATATTCTGAGTTGCATTATTTGTATTCATTTTGAGGAATACTGAATCTGTTTTTTTTTTTGTGAGTGAGATGAATTAATGCATATTCATATTTATTTTAGAACTACAGTAACATCTTCTGATTTCTCTCAACATGGGGACAGGAGAGCTGTCAATCAATAAATTGGAGAAAAAGTAACTTGCGTTACTTATTTTAAAAAGTAACTCCGATATTCTCTTGTAAATTAAAAAGTAATGCGTTACTTTACTAGTTACTTGAACAAAGTAATCTGATTACGTAACTCGCGTTACTTGTAATGCGTTACCCCCAACACTGGTAGGCACAATATAATTCAACAAAGAAACGCAATGCCAGTGTGGGGGTTCCGTTCCGTCCCATTGGAGTCCACCGCCTGACCAGCAGGCTGCAGAATGGAGCATCTCTGAATGAGCAGAAACTCTTGGTTCCTCCCCGCACTAACGCTACTGCGCTCCGGCGGACGCTGCAGAGTGCAGACGGGTGAGCACGGGTGCCTCGCCCGCAACAGCGTGCTTCTAGCCTGGACACTTTTCTCGGATGTGTTACTTATGTCCGCTTCAACGGGCAAAGCATCTTTCCGGTTTTGGTCGTTCACTTTATGGCCATATGTATTAGGAAACTCAACTGATGCTGGACATAAAGTGACTTTTACGGAAACGGAGTCGGTGTGAGTTTATAACGGTAAGATGTCACATTATGGCATTTTTACTTTAGTTGATCGCCTGCGCATCTACAGTCACGGGGATTTTTTGAAAGTGAATGTTTACAATGGAAAGTACCGCAGTCGAAATATTTTTTTCTCTTGTTTTACATTAGTCTTGTCCTCGTTCCCATGGTGAATGTATACCAAAACCGCGTGCTGCATTGTGGGATACCTGAAGGCTTTTATAGGCAGTTTTATAGGGTTAATTCATAAAGGCATTTCCCTTTTTGTCTGTTATTGTCAAATAACAAATGTAAGATTTAATAATGCAGCATTTTGTGTGTGAAAATGGTACGTGGAATTAGGATAAAGCATCCGAAGACCCTGTTTTGACTCGACTATCAGGGGTGTTTATGAGTCTGAAGACCATTAGGATTCACTTGGTCTTAAAGTAACTTTCTATAGGTATGTGATATTTTAAGTCTATCTCTGTTTGCTTTATCCTCCACCGTTATCAGAAGTCACTTGAGATAAGCTCAGGCTTTTTTGGCTCAAAACACTAAAACTTTGGTCATTTATTGCCTGTTGTACCAATACAATGACATTCTTTGCAAAGACCAAACAAACCTCAAAACAATAAAACTAGCAGGATAACAGAAGAAACAATAAAACAGTGTAAGTAGAGTACAAAAAGACAAAGTATGAATACATGGGTTTATGTAGTAAAGTAGTAGTAACATACATAGCCTAAAAAAGTGCTACAAAATGTGAACTTTTAAAATAGTGTTTATATATTTACAAACGTTTGGGTTTTTTATGTTTTTGAAAAAAGTGTCTTATGCTTACCAAGGCTGCATTTATTTGATAAAAAGTACAGTAAAACAGTAGTATTGGAAAATATTATTACACTTTAAAGGGTTAGTTCACCCAAAAATGAAAATTAGGCTGTGTTTCAATAAATATCATCTTTATTTCACTAAAGAATTCTACCTCTAACGAGTAGTAGATAAAATAGATAAGTTGTAGACAAATTAAAGTTACCGTTATTTTCCGGTCTTTATCCGTTCAGTCAGATTTTGTGCTGCAAAACATCCATGACAGCCGTTGTCCATGCTGGCAAATAATAATGGCCACTCGACTTGAATTGTTTAAATAATTTTAATAGCACGGCCATTTAAAACCTGAGGGTCTACTATGTGATTAGTAAAGCGATAACGG